AGCCGTACGCTGTAGACTGACTACTGACTGTCCGACCGTGACTACGTGACGTCGTTAGCGGCGCGGGACGCGCGGTCACTAAGATTGCTAGTGTTGCCCTCAACCTCCACTCTTATAATATCATTCATTTTACACTTTTCAGAGACAAATCTTTGTCCTTAACAGCCTGATTTTTTAAATCAAATAAAAAATATATATAAGTGTACCCCTTACTGTGTTTACTAATGGAGACAAATAGTAAAAAAATCAAAACGATATTTTTATATATTTATTTTGAAAAAACATTTGGTAACATGTAAACAGTCAAATATTAAAATAAAATCGATTGTATACGCCCAATGCGATTTATAACCTCGGTATCAAATTTGCAACTTCAGGTATTTAAGGGTTAAGAAGACAAATTTAGAAAAGAGTAGTAAAAACTATAACATTCGTTCATTTTTGGCGAACAGTAATCCAGAACAGTATCCTTTTCTCGCTTTCCAAGTACTATGGTCAGAATAGGCTTGTTTCCACTAAGAATAAATCGACTGGCATAGGGTTTCTTATGATTAATCATGTTATATAGTAACCAAATAAAAACACTTTTTTCATTAAAATAATTAAGGATTACCAATATTTACGGAAAAATAAAATGCACAAAATCACGTGACATTGAACACCAATCAGAGAAGCGTGACGTCACGCCTCATGTTACTGGCATTTTCGTATACAGTGAATAGATTATTTGATAAATTTTTCGTTTTCAGCAATAATTGTTAGATCGATACAGTGTATTTTAAATTTAATCTCGAAAGACAAGTATAGTTCGCCATGGAATCAGGTTTCACCAATGCAAATAGCAGTAGTCCTATCATTTTATAACTTATGGTTACCTAACCTATAAGGGTATGCTTTTATATGTTAGATTTTGCTAAATTCATTACTTTTACTTTATATTTACCTTTATTTAATAGATACATTAAATTGGCTTAATACTTACATCAAAATGATCTTTACAGAAATAAAGTGTTGAGTCACTTGATATATTAGAAGCATCTTGCCTCCTTGCTATTTCTAACCACTTTTTACGTATTTGCTTATTGTTAGGAACGTATATGAATAATTTATTCGGTGGTTTTATCGTTGTACTTTTACATTGGGGCATTGCAGAGTATTTATAATATTAGGGATTCATTATTTCCTAATAAAAATAATTGAGGTTATAAACAAACACGAATGTTTTGCGAGGCGTGACGTCATTTAAGACGCCATGACAGTTTTGGCCTTTTACGATGTCAATTTAGAATTCATTTTTAAAAACGCTAAATTTCTAAGTAAAATGGCTTATTTTTCTTAAAATAATATATTTTTGGGGTAAAATAGATACCAAGCTATATTTTTAAACTAATTTCTAAATTTTGGCAACTAGCGTATGCTAATATGATTTCAGTGATTTTTACCAATTATGACAATATCATCAAAATATACTGCGACATTTGGAATACCTTCGAGCGGTTTATCTAGATAATGTTGAAAGGTAGATGGGGGGCGGTGAAAATAACCTTCTCGTGTAGTAATTGTATAGTATTTATATACCTTATTATGGTATGCAGGTTGTAGTGGATGTAAAGTCCAAAGGTACTTAGTAATATTGAATACTTATTATTTTACATACATATCTGTCACGCCTGTCTCCCATTAGGGTAGGCAGAAACAATGGAACGCCAAATGCTATTTATTATTTTAAACTATATATAAAGTGACGACGTGTTATACGTGCTGAGTGGCTGGAGCGAGAGAGCTCGAACGAACGAGTCAGAATGAATGATTACTGAACAGTTATAATGATAATGAAATAGTAAAAATATTTTTGTAAATTTCTCCCTCTGCCATCAATTTTCGTCGTGATTGATCGAACAATGAAACTGTCATAGTTCATTATTATCGTCGGGCTACCCGTCTACCGCACCGCAGCGATCCTCGCCCGATTCCGAATTATTGTTATTGATAAATTTGTCAGGATGGGCCCACTGACCTATTTCCATTCCTACCTATCGTTCGTCTTACATATCATCAGTTCATACCAGTATACTGATAGTATACTATACTTTTTTTTTATACAACCTAGAATGGCAAACAAGCTGACGGCCCATCTGATGGAAAATGGTAATCGTCGCCTATAGACATAACAGAGTATACTGTTTCGCCCATGATACCCCCATGCGTTGCCATTCCTGAGGACTCAGGTGTTATTCCTCTGTATCCAGTAAATTCACGTCATATCCCACCTTTCAAACCGAAACTCAGCCATGCAAACACGACTACTTCACGGTAGAAACACGAATGGGACAAAGGTAACCAAACAAACGACTTTTGTACAAAGTCTCCCTCTGGTAGATTGATTTGCAGATTGGGTTACCATTACATTGTGATCCAATAAAAAAAGCACAACTAGCTCCAACTCATATGGAGAACCGTGGTAACAATTTCTATTACTCACCATCCATTCACTTAGGAATATTGGAGCCTCCTCCGGGTCGCCTAAGATTCATAGTTCGGGAGGCAGTGTACAACTGTGGCACTCGGAACAAGTGTTCTGATGATGACATTCTGCAAGGTTTTATATATTATTTACTATATTATGTTGACCTTCATGGTGCAACTATAAGAATAATATTATATAAAATTGAAATTATGTATGCATAATCAAATATATATGTTATTGTAATTAGTTAATGTATATTTATATTTAGAAGAAGAAATGTCAAATCTATTGTAGTAGAACATATGGCTATTTTATTTGTCAGGGTCCAACAGTGGACACATTGCATAATAATCTTCAGAGATTAATTCTTAGTCGAGCGAAATTGAGGAAACAAAGTTTCTGAATCAACTCAATTCTAGACGTTTTATATCATTTGTCACATGATATATACAACGATCTGAGGGTCTATCATGAAATGTTTTCCGATATTTCGGAGCCAAACGAAACACAAATTTGATGTTAAAATTTCATAATACATGCCATTTGGAAATATTAAAAATGTTAAAATATTGTTCCTTTGGACTTTTATGATAGGATGTATGACGAACAAAATGTTAAACTCCATTTATTGATCCCATTTTGGTATGGACAAAAACACGAAGTTGAGTCCGAAATTTCGGAATTTCATTTCATAGTATTTATTTATTTATTTACAAGAAACATGACATATAGTAGACCCGCTGTATTCATGAATATATTCAATTCTATTGTCACCATCATCTCAGCCATTATCTGTCCATTGCTGAACATAGGTCTCCCTCCTTTTTGCCTTCGTACCCTGGAATTTCACTGTCATGTTGACATCCTTCACACCAAAACAAGATCATGTGCAAACACATAGATATTTGACGGTAAAAATAAAAGTGGGACAGACATACCCACCTTTACCGTATTGTAGTCAATATTTGGTAGTTCACTTGTACAATGTCTCATTAAATAATATATATATATATATATATATATATATCCGCTTTCTTCTTCTTCACACATTTATTTTTTTAAAATAAGACAATCCAAGTTACTCATCGACAGTGTGACTTTCTACAGGTGAAAGAATTTTTTAGATCAGTTACATATTTTTTGAGTTTATCCATTACAAACGAAATAATGCGAATGTTTATAATGGGGTCTAAATGCCACTGTCCTAGAAATATATCCTTTTATATCAATATCAACGTGGTTCCCCCTAGAAACGATCCTAGTTAATCCTTGTAGAATTCATCACGCTGGGCCATCTGACCTGTCATTACAACCTCGTCTATCATCACTCTCTGGTGTCACACCAGCATATACCGGTAGCGCAGTCGGAGATACAATTGTATTTCTACCTATTAAAAATGACCCACCTGAATATCCTAGCATAGTCAATATCCAACTGTTGATCTACAGGCACCACTTTGTGGAAGAGTCCCTTCGCCAGGTACAGCATACTGAGACACAACACCAGCCACTTGTCTCCTGGAATCCAGGTTTAGAATAAATGAGATAGACATCATTGAATTGTTTTTACAAGATCGTTCCTTAAGACCATTGGGGGAATTTAGCCAGCAGTAGTAATTGCCACGCTTGGCAGGGCATTTGCCAACCACAGTTCCCTTCGTCGCCTAATTACGACACCGACTATTATATAAATTCAGACGAAATTAAAATAAAGTGAGTAAAAAACAACATTGTAAGTATAGCTTATTACAAAGACGTCGAGCTCGCAAGTACTAAGGAATGATATAGTAATCAGACAATCAAAATTACCTATTTAATGTTTTATGTAATTTCTGTAAATTTTACATTCTAGACAAGGAAATTTAACTACTATCCATGTCTTAAATCAAAATAAATAATATTTTACCTGCTAACAAAAGTGCCTTGCAAGTTTACTTAATATAAAAATAAATAGCGACACAATTTCAAAATGTGTCTCGATTGATAATAATCAAAACAAAAACAATTACCTCAATGAAATATTTTAATATAATTTTTAATTTAGACAATAATATTTATAATGATTGTAGTGACACTTGAAATACCGAAATACTGACACTCGACAAACCTACACGCCGACCACAGACCACAAAACCAATACATTATTAAATAATCACTACCTTATAAGAGATGGCAGTGGCCTCGTATTCACGTAACCTGAAAATTATATGAGTTACCTTTTTGAAGCAACTACATATTATAATAAATTTTGTTAACCCCTTATTCATATAAACCTCAAACAGCTTATAAACCTATTTTGACTATCGAACTGTTCTCTTGTAACTTCCTTGTTTTAGATCAAAGTAAGTTTAATAGTTAGAATATACTTGCATATTTCAGTTTTTACGAACAAGAGAGTTGTACTATTATTATACTACTATATACCTGTATACAAAAAATTTGACATCGATTGTTGTCTATTTATATTTAGTTACTTTATTCAACTCTAATTCAATGATTCATTGATTCTGTGTGATTTACAGTTTTTATTTTATCATTCTTTCTGGGCAATTTCTTGTTCTTTTATACATCTGACCGCCTTGATGTGTATTCCGCTGTTCTTGCCGTACTTCTTCAGCACCTCCCTGAGGTTCATGGACAGAGGCTCCATCACCATGCACAAGTGCTGCTTGTGGAAGAAATGCCGGGACAGGCGCAAACAGTGGAACTTGTCGTGGGGGTCGGCGTCGTTCAAACGCTTCAGAATTTCTATCTCACGGAGGCCGGTTTTGTGCCTGCGGATGGAATGGATCGTTTAATAAGTCGAATTATATACAAGTGGTGGGTGGTGGAAATGAATGTAAACATTAACTATTTCACGATGTCTGAACATGTTAAATATTTAGTCTGTCTGTCTGTCTACCAAATAAAAGTAAAAATGCGAAACTCTGAAAGTAGTTGAGAAAGTATACTTACATCATGGCATTGTTCCTGATGATCTTGACGGCCACATCGCAGTTGGCGCGTTGGTCCCGCGCCCGCACCACGTTAGAGAACACCCCTTGGCCGGTGTAACCGTACACATTGTACCGCTCGTCCAGACTCTCGCCGATTCGCACCCTGTACATAAAACATAGTATATTAATGCCACACTCTGACTATATATCATGGTTCGTTCTCGGTCCTGTCTCGTTATGTCTAGCTGTTATCAAGGGAATATTCATGTATTTGTTATAATTCATTAAATATATGGCAAATTGTGTGTCAAAAGTTATTTTCTATTGCACTAATAGAACAAAAATCTTACATACCTGTAGTACCCTTCGGCATCATCCCAATTGTCTATCAATGAAGGGTTCTCTAATGCATTGTCACTTCTTGGTTTTCCAGCTGTAGACGTCTGTAATTACAATGAAAGCTTTAATCCAACTTCCTTTCAACTAAAAAAAAAAGGATTTTTTAAATCAGTTTAGAAATGACAGTGACATTCGTTAAAATAAAAAACAAAACAACCGAATCTATCACATCCTTCTTTCTGTGCTCGGTTGTAAAGTGTCTTGTTACTATCAAAAGAGAAAGAGAGATGATCTGGAATTAATATTATAAACAATACTTACATCAACACTGAAGCTGTCCTGATCAGCGAACATGTCCCACGACTTGCTCTTCACTGACTTCTCCAATTTGATGTTAGTTTTGGACTCATTGTCTATATTCCCGGCCAGCCCGCTTACATCGCTCTTGGAGTCTGAATTCGTGGTCTCATCTTGGTCACTTTCTCCTTTTGTTTCACATTTATCCTGTTTAATGTCAGAGTTCATATTGTCCGGCTTTACATCCGGTGAGGTGGAGACTGCCACCTGCTGTTGTTGTTGTTCCAATGGGCCATTGTTGATACCACGGAGCTTCTAAAATAATAGAACAAAGAAATTAATGACTTGTAACATATAATGATAGACTTCAATTTAAACATCTATATCACTTGTATCAACAGTACTTACCTTTATTAGTCGTTCCCTCTCTTCTCTTCTCTTTTCGATAATCTGCTCCTCTATCTCTTCATCATCATCTGTATTTATTACCAAATTTGATTCTTCGTCACTTGAACATGGAACTATTTGTGCCACTTCATTGATTGAATTCTGAAATATAGTATGTATATTTTAGCTTTCACATTTTTACATGTATTGTAAATTTTATTTTAAAAATTTCACTGCTAATTAAAAATCGACCCTACCTGATGTTTGTGGGTTCGCCTGTGGTTTCTATCACGTGAGCGTTCGCGATCACGACGCACTATCGGCGACCGGTCTCGCGTCTGACGTGTTCGAGGCTCCCGTTCTTTCCTCTTCATCTCTATAGATCGCCTCTCCACGTCTCTCTCGCGATTTCGTTCCGTTTCTTTTCTTTCACGGTACTCCCTCTCTTTTTCCATTTCCTTCCTACGCTCTCTATTTATGATTTGTCTTAAATCTTCCCCATATCGTTTACACTTGTATCTATCGCGTTCTGATGATCTGTCTTTAATAGACATGTGTTTATTGCTCCGTCTGTACTCATAATCACGATCTTTTTTCTTCTTATGTGATGGCTGTTCCGTTTCACCATCACTTTTATCAGACTTATAAGCTACTAGACATGCTTCTAATAGTTCTTTCCGCTTCATTAATTCGTCTAATGAATGGTCTTTATCATGAGACTTCTTCGTGTGACTTCTTCTACCATTGCTACTGCTTCTTGACTTATAGTCTTTCTCGTACTCATCGACAGACTCCCGTCTACTTTTCTTGTGCGTCTTTCTTTTCTTCCGGTCTTCATCTTTTAGACTATCATGGTACACGAACCTGTCTGCTTCTAATTTTATTCTGAAACAAATAAAAATAAAGTATTATGCTCGTGTTGTTAGGACTGTTTTGTCCATTCGTTGTTATATATGTCATATTAATGGTTAAAATTGTATGCACAAAGCGAGATCTCTATTAGATCCTGAAAATGTCATTACTTGAAAAAAGTCAACACTAATTATACAGCTTCACTGTTTACATAGTATATTAATATATTGCAATAAAAACTTTTTGATACTTACTCTTTATCCATGTCGGTAGCTCTTATGGATGTTGTAGCTCTATGGATCGATGGAATTTATACACTGCAAAAAAAAAAAGAACATTATAATAAATTTATTTGATAACAAGTCGATTAAACTAGCAACATACTGTAATGAGAGTATTACTATTAGTATAACTATCTATCTATTTAAAATAGTATAATCTATCATTAACGCAAAGAAAGGTTTAAAATTAACTACTCGTACCCTAATAATTATATTATTTGACAATGAAAGTAACGAAAATAAACTAATCTGACAGTCTCGATGAACACTGAGCCAAATTGAACCAATACAAGAGGCGCAGCAAAGCACTATTTGCATCGTCATAATTTTAGACCAATGCGTCAACTTTAAAAATCAAGTGAAGTGTCATCTGCGAACAATACTACGCCGCATCTATCCTGCATGTCGCATGGCAAAAGCGAAATCATCAATATAAACTAAAAAATAGGAATGGCCCCAGAATAGACCCTTGAGGTACAACGAATGAAGGACGACTTCGTACAACTGCAACGCAAACGTTGAAATAGAATAGAAAACTTACCGGTTAGCACTCTTCACGAGTCCTGGGACTGTGCCGGGTGTGGGAAGTGGCGTCTTTGGCCAATAACAATTACTTCAGTCAATTGCACGTAAGAGGGTATCACTATTACTATCAGGGTGACGTCACTACACCGTATACCGAAATGCACGTGTGCGCACTGCAAGCCGTACGCTGTAGACTGACTACTGACTGTCCGACCGTGACTACGTGACGTCGTTAGCGGCGCGGGACGCGCGGTCACTAAGATTGCTAGTGTTGCCCTCAACCTCCACTCTTATAATATCATTCATTTTACACTTTTCAGAGACAAATCTTTGTCCTTAACCCTTAATAGCCTGATTTTTTAAATCAAATAAAAAATATATATAAGTGTACCCCTTACTGTGTTTACTAATGGAGACAAATAGTAAAAAAATCAAAACGATATTTTTATATATTTATTTTGAAAAAACATTTGGTAACATGTAAACAGTCAAATATTAAAATAAAATCGATTGTATACGCCCAATGCGATTTATAACCTCGGTATCAAATTTGCAACTTCAGGTATTTAAGGGTTAAGAAGACAAATTTAGAAAAGAGTAGTAAAAACTATAACATTCGTTCATTTTTGGCGAACAGTAATCCAGAACAGTATCCTTTTCTCGCTTTCCAAGTACTATGGTCAGAATAGGCTTGTTTCCACTAAGAATAAATCGACTGGCATAGGGTTTCTTATGATTAATCATGTTATATAGTAACCAAATAAAAACACTTTTTTCATTAAAATAATTAAGGATTACCAATATTTACGGAAAAATAAAATGCACAAAATCACGTGACATTGAACACCAATCAGAGAAGCGTGACGTCACGCCTCATGTTACTGGCATTTTCGTATACAGTGAATAGATTATTTGATAAATTTTTCGTTTTCAGCAATAATTGTTAGATCGATACAGTGTATTTTAAATTTAATCTCGAAAGACAAGTATAGTTCGCCATGGAATCAGGTTTCACCAATGCAAATAGCAGTAGTCCTATCATTTTATAACTTATGGTTACCTAACCTATAAGGGTATGCTTTTATATGTTAGATTTTGCTAAATTCATTACTTTTACTTTATATTTACCTTTATTTAATAGATACATTAAATTGGCTTAATACTTACATCAAAATGATCTTTACAGAAATAAAGTGTTGAGTCACTTGATATATTAGAAGCATCTTGCCTCCTTGCTATTTCTAACCACTTTTTACGTATTTGCTTATTGTTAGGAACGTATATGAATAATTTATTCGGTGGTTTTATCGTTGTACTTTTACATTGGGGCATTGCAGAGTATTTATAATATTAGGGATTCATTATTTCCTAATAAAAATAATTGAGGTTATAAACAAACACGAATGTTTTGCGAGGCGTGACGTCATTTAAGACGCCATGACAGTTTTGGCCTTTTACGATGTCAATTTAGAATTCATTTTTAAAAACGCTAAATTTCTAAGTAAAATGGCTTATTTTTCTTAAAATAATATATTTTTGGGGTAAAATAGATACCAAGCTATATTTTTAAACTAATTTCTAAATTTTGGCAACTAGCGTATGCTAATATGATTTCAGTGATTTTTACCAATTATGACAATATCATCAAAATATACTGCGACATTTGGAATACCTTCGAGCGGTTTATCTAGATAATGTTGAAAGGTAGATGGGGGGCGGTGAAAATAACCTTCTCGTGTAGTAATTGTATAGTATTTATATACCTTATTATGGTATGCAGGTTGTAGTGGATGTAAAGTCCAAAGGTACTTAGTAATATTGAATACTTATTATTTTACATACATATCTGTCACGCCTGTCTCCCATTAGGGTAGGCAGAAACAATGGAACGCCAAATGCTATTTATTATTTTAAACTATATATAAAGTGACGACGTGTTATACGTGCTGAGTGGCTGGAGCGAGAGAGCTCGAACGAACGAGTCAGAATGAATGATTACTGAACAGTTATAATGATAATGAAATAGTAAAAATATTTTTGTAAATTTCTCCCTCTGCCATCAATTTTCGTCGTGATTGATCGAACAATGAAACTGTCATAGTTCATTATTATCGTCGGGCTACCCGTCTACCGCACCGCAGCGATCCTCGCCCGATTCCGAATTATTGTTATTGATAAATTTGTCAGGATGGGCCCACTGACCTATTTCCATTCCTACCTATCGTTCGTCTTACATATCATCAGTTCATACCAGTATACTGATAGTATACTATACTTTTTTTTTATACAACCTAGAATGGCAAACAAGCTGACGGCCCATCTGATGGAAAATGGTAATCGTCGCCTATAGACATAACAGAGTATACTGTTTCGCCCATGATACCCCCATGCGTTGCCATTCCTGAGGACTCAGGTGTTATTCCTCTGTATCCAGTAAATTCACGTCATATCCCACCTTTCAAACCGAAACTCAGCCATGCAAACACGACTACTTCACGGTAGAAACACGAATGGGACAAAGGTAACCAAACAAACGACTTTTGTACAAAGTCTCCCTCTGGTAGATTGATTTGCAGATTGGGTTACCATTACATTGTGATCCAATAAAAAAAGCACAACTAGCTCCAACTCATATGGAGAACCGTGGTAACAATTTCTATTACTCACCATCCATTCACTTAGGAATATTGGAGCCTCCTCCGGGTCGCCTAAGATTCATAGTTCGGGAGGCAGTGTACAACTGTGGCACTCGGAACAAGTGTTCTGATGATGACATTCTGCAAGGTTTTATATATTATTTACTATATTATGTTGACCTTCATGGTGCAACTATAAGAATAATATTATATAAAATTGAAATTATGTATGCATAATCAAATATATATGTTATTGTAATTAGTTAATGTATATTTATATTTAGAAGAAGAAATGTCAAATCTATTGTAGTAGAACATATGGCTATTTTATTTGTCAGGGTCCAACAGTGGACACATTGCATAATAATCTTCAGAGATTAATTCTTAGTCGAGCGAAATTGAGGAAACAAAGTTTCTGAATCAACTCAATTCTAGACGTTTTATATCATTTGTCACATGATATATACAACGATCTGAGGGTCTATCATGAAATGTTTTCCGATATTTCGGAGCCAAACGAAACACAAATTTGATGTTAAAATTTCATAATACATGCCATTTGGAAATATTAAAAATGTTAAAATATTGTTCCTTTGGACTTTTATGATAGGATGTATGACGAACAAAATGTTAAACTCCATTTATTGATCCCATTTTGGTATGGACAAAAACACGAAGTTGAGTCCGAAATTTCGGAATTTCATTTCATAGTATTTATTTATTTATTTACAAGAAACATGACATATAGTAGACCCGCTGTATTCATGAATATATTCAATTCTATTGTCACCATCATCTCAGCCATTATCTGTCCATTGCTGAACATAGGTCTCCCTCCTTTTTTGCCTTCGTACCCTGGAATTTCACTGTCATGTTGACATCCTTCACACCAAAACAAGATCATGTGCAAACACATAGATATTTGACGGTAAAAATAAAAGTGGGACAGACATACCCACCTTTACCGTATTGTAGTCAATATTTGGTAGTTCACTTGTACAATGTCTCATTAAATAATATATATATATATATATATATATATATACATATCCGCTTTCTTCTTCTTCACACATTTATTTTTTTAAAATAAGACAATCCAAGTTACTCATCGACAGTGTGACTTTCTACAGGTGAAAGAATTTTTTAGATCAGTTACATATTTTTTGAGTTTATCCATTACAAACGAAATAATGCGAATGTTTATAATGGGGTCTAAATGCCACTGTCCTAGAAATATATCCTTTTATATCAATATCAACGTGGTTCCCCCTAGAAACGATCCTAGTTAATCCTTGTAGAATTCATCACGCTGGGCCATCTGACCTGTCATTACAACCTCGTCTATCATCACTCTCTGGTGTCACACCAGCATATACCGGTAGCGCAGTCGGAGATACAATTGTATTTCTACCTATTAAAAATGACCCACCTGAATATCCTAGCATAGTCAATATCCAACTGTTGATCTACAGGCACCACTTTGTGGAAGAGTCCCTTCGCCAGGTACAGCATACTGAGACACAACACCAGCCACTTGTCTCCTGGAATCCAGGTTTAGAATAAATGAGATAGACATCATTGAATTGTTTTTACAAGATCGTTCCTTAAGACCATTGGGGGAATTTAGCCAGCAGTAGTAATTGCCACGCTTGGCAGGGCATTTGCCAACCACAGTTCCCTTCGTCGCCTAATTACGACACCGACTATTATATAAATTCAGACGAAATTAACCCATTAGAAGTCACTGTACTCGATTGAGTACAGGCATATATTTAAGTGCCAGTTACAGATCGCGTAGATTATATATATCAATCAACTGTTCAAGTGTATTGACGAATACAGTGTGATTTTTTATGATAAAAAGTGTAAGTTGAAGTTGTATCACACTGTGGAGGTAAGTTCATTATTTTAATTATTTTCTTAATGTTTATAAGGAATTTCATTAGATAAAAATACGTCCCAATCATTACTTGTAACTAAAATAAAACAAGAGCCATTCGCCATCATCCCACCTGATGTACAGATGAGGATATGGCATGTCCCACGTGAGACACAGCTCGTACGACAATAGTGATGAAAAACCGCTGGTGTCAAAAAGAATCACCAGATTCACTACGGGCTCGAATTTGAAGTGGATTGGCACTGAATTCGAACCCGATCTAGCGAAAGTGTTCCCCTACATACTCTTTGCCGTTTATATTATTATTGAAGTCCATGACAGGAAGAGTACTATTTATGAATAATTGGATGATATAATTGATATATAGAATTTCAGACATAATATTTAGAAAAATTCTTAGGCTTAGAATTGTTATTTTTGACAAAACAGGTGAACTCATTATCATAGTAACCTTAAACCATTGGGTGTCGAATTTAGAACAAAAATATGGGAGGTGTGGATGAGCACCAGTCTGTTTTATTATATAGAATAAAAAAGTGGTGGTGGGTGTTGTTCACTTACATGTTAGACTTAATGCTAATGCCTGGCGATTACATGTGATGAGTAACGATTCAACTCATGTTTCGTCGTCACATCACGATATTATTTACGCCAAGGTGATCAAAGAGATCGCGTCAGGCTGCATCAATAGTCTGTGGTCTTTCCTAAGATGAAGTTGGACACTATCCTACTAAAATTAAAAACAGCTGCGGTGCGTCGAAAAAGCGTGTTTGGAAATATTTCATACATAGAGGTGGTCAGTGTAATCAATTGATTACACCCCCATAATTTCGCGAAAATTACTATATTTGAATTTTTTTTTCGTAATTTTAGTATGAAAATAAAGACCGACTTTTATATAAATTCAGACGAAATTAAAATAAAGTGAGTAAAAAACAACATTGTAAGTATAGCTTATTACAAAGACGTCGAGCTCGCAAGTACTAAGGAATGATATAGTAATCAGACAATCAAAATTACCTATTTAATGTTTTATGTAATTTCTGTAAATTTTACATTCTAGACAAGGAAATTTAACTACTATCCATGTCTTAAATCAAAATAAATAATATTTTACCTGCTAACAAAAGTGCCTTGCAAGTTTACTTAATATAAAAATAAATAGCGACACAATTTCAAAATGTGTCTCGATTGATAATAATCAAAACAAAAACAATTACCTCAATGAAATATTTTAATATAATTTTTAATTTAGACAATAATATTTATAATGATTGTAGTGACACTTGAAATACCGAAATACTGACACTCGACAAACCTACACGCCGACCACAGACCACAAAACCAATACATTATTAAATAATCACTACCTTATAAGAGATGGCAGTGGCCTCGTATTCACGTAACCTGAAAATTATATGAGTTACCTTTTTGAAGCAACTACATATTATAATAAATTTTGTTAACCCCTTATTCATATAAACCTCAAACAGCTTATAAACCTATTTTGACTATCGAACTGTTCTCTTGTAACTTCCTTGTTTTAGATCAAAGTAAGTTTAATAGTTAGAATATACTTGCATATTTCAGTTTTTACGAACAAGAGAGTTGTACTATTATTATACTACTATATACCTGTATACAAAAAATTTGACATCGATTGTTGTCTATTTATATTTAGTTACTTTATTCAACTCTAATTCAATGATTCATTGATTCTGTGTGATTTACAGTTTTTATTTTATCATTCTTTCTGGGCAATTTCTTGTTCTTTTATACAATTTGTTATTTAGACAATTTCTTATTATATAATCATACAACCCAAACTTACTTGGATAGTTTCTAAAAGCTTGAATATTATGTATACATAAACCTTAGATGGTTTGGCCATTTGGAGAGGTCGGATGAAAGAAGAATTACGACAGAAATTTATCAAGCAAGAATGAATGGAGATGTCGATACGAGCCGCCCTAGACGGATGTACGTCGACCTAATAGGCGACGTGCTGAAGAAGGAACAAATTAAAAGTACTCGTAAACGGCGAGCGTGTATGAAAAGATTGATGAATGTGGAAAAAGCTAAAGAGGTTTGTTAGGATCGAAGCATTTGACGTTCCATTGTTTCTGCTTACCCTAATGGGAGACAGGCATGGCGTGACAGATATGTATGTATGTATAAACCTTAGATTGTATAGATTACTTTAGATTAAGGTAAATAGGTGACGGTTGTAACATAAAATATTATTAGGATTATATAATCCCTTATAATATTTAACTTTATTTATATATTTAATTATGTTCACTTTAGATAGATTTCTATTAAATACTTTTAAAACAATTTGTCGGTTTTCGCATTCTCAGATCTTTTAAAAAACTTATCGTACATACAGTCCACTTATATTCTCGCACAAATTATATTATTTATTTATTTATTAAGAATAATGCGTAGGCAAAGAATAAGAATGCGGTAGATGGACGTTCATTATTTTTCCATATTGCTTTAAACAATAACAAAATTTAGGTTATAAAGCTAAGATTGATAATCGGTAATGACAATTAAAATAACGGTCATTTTGATTAATTCCGACATCGAATCCATATTTGAAATGTTCAAATCTCGATTTTGAAAGCAATCTGTCAAATAACAAAAAGAAATTGATACTTGCAACACTAACACATGGCGCGAATTCTTTAAAAATAAAGTTAATTATAGTCATATTTATGTTTAAAATTGAAGATTCTTTTAATAAAAATGCTGTTTCCCAAACTTTCTTTTTGGCGGATGCACTTTGTGCCGTGCCATAAGAAAGGAAAAAAGAAATAAGATATTTACCGATTATAAGCGATTGTTTTTTTAGTTCTATATTTAAACTTTTAATTTTGTTTTGAGATTTGTCTCACAGAAGTTCTGATGAAAATCCATCCTCGCTCGACACCTTGCTGTTTTCGAGCTGTTCTAGAAGCATTTAAAAATAATAGGTACAGTATTGGGTAAATTTTTTTAGCTCTTTAGTCGTTATTCGCGTCGGATAAATCTAAACTGTAATTAAATAATGTCTGTAAACAGAAGACAATTACGAGGGGTTTCAATAAGAGCTAAAGAAAAACATTGTACGCGCTCTTCATAATTGTATTCCTGAAGATTTACTAAAAATACTACTTAAAATCTTCTTATTTAGTCCCCATTGCTATCAATACCTATATATAAACCGTCGTGACTTATTATATATCGTTGAATTCGTCACGATGAGCTAACTGACCTGCCTTTTCATCCTCACTTATCACCCCTCTGGTGCTCCGCCAGTGTATACCGATATATATATATATATATATATATATATATATATATATATATATATATATCCCTATATTGGTGCCTAGCCAGCTTAAACTTAGCATTTTTGCTTTCCCTTGACTGTTAATAGAATCTAGCTATTTTTAAGTTAATATGTAATATAAAGAGCCTTTTAAGAGTCAATTACCTTTAATGATTATCCTGAATATACTGAAATAAATGTTTCCAGTGAAAATAGTTTCTTTTTAAAAACCTACCTAAACTAATCTGTATTGGCTCAATTTGTTTGGTGTGAGGTGACTAGGTTTCCGAGTGAATTAAAACAAATGTATATATCTTAATAATTTATTAAGTAATTTAATAACTAAATAACAGGTGTATTGATTTTACACATTTCCAAGGTTAAAGTTACTTTTAAACATGAACTTATATCAATGTAATTAAATGAAACAGTGTTTGAAGAATTCTAGACCAGAGCTGTCCAAACCGTGGCCCGCGGGCTACATGCGGCCCCCAATTTTTTCTAGTTACTACCGATATTGATGTTTATATTGACAAAATTGTAAAATTAATGAAAAAGGAATAGGCCCTAGATCCTATCTAGTTTGGACAGCTCTGTTCTAGATTAATACAATATGACAAACGAACCATTTGTTATAAAAACTAGCTAAACTATTACACTATTTATACATGACCAAAAACATCACGATAGTTGAATAAAAAAATACATTGAATGTAACACAGGTTGTCTATGGCACCGCTCTATAGCGGTCGTGGGCTACAAACTATATCTTCTCCTGGATGAAGGGATGCGCGAGACAGTGGTCTACGGAGGCGCGCTTGGCAGGGTCGAGCGTCAGCATTCGCTCGAGCAAGTCTCCGAGTTGCGTTATCTTCTTGGCCTCCTGCTGGGGGAGACGATCGTGCGGCGGGGCCAGCTCCGATTGTAAGTGTCTCGTCGCCTTTATATTTGACATCACCACCACTTTCTCCTGCGAAGGGAAAGATAAACGCGGTTATAAAAAATAGTAGACATGAAACCTCACGACATTCCAATTGAATAAACTTATCAAAAGCATTTTTTCATAACTGATCTTACTTTATCCTCCCTCACCTATGACTGGTTCACTTTCATCCATCAGAAACCAAATCTATATTATAACAAGTAAATATACTACTTACCCGTTCGGTCACTTTGTCCAGCTCACGATACAAAAAGTTGCAATTTGCATCAAAGTGTTGCCCCTTGAAGTGTCCCCTCTTTATGATTTTATTTGGTATCTTTCCTTTCAGGTCCATGAAACATTTTAGCATCTCATTGTTGGATTTCCCACTGAACATTATTTTGCCGGTGGACAGTTCGTATACAGTGCACGCCGTGGACCACATGTCTATGCCGTGATCGTAGGCGGAGCCGAGGATGATCTCTGGCGCCCGGTAGAATCTCGAGACCAGGTATGGTGTGATTTCGTTTTCCGTTACACACGACGCGGAACCGAAGTCGCATAGTTTAAGCGTTAGCTTACTATCATCAACGAGTATATTGTCCGGTTTGATGTCTGTGAACAAAAAATCAATAATTGCATTATAACATAACATAATAAGAGCAAAGGAGCTTTATAAGCGTTATCGGAAATAAATTATAATTTCATCGTTGAAAAGTTAATAATTCAAGTATGATAACTTACCGGCGTGTAAAATGCCAGTTTTCTTCAACAGTTCGAGCGCCGACAACATTTGCATCGTATAACATCTGACCGCCTTGATGTGTATTCCGCTGTTCTTGCCGTACTTCTTCAGCACCTCCCTGAGGTTCATGGACAGAGGCTCCATCACCATGCACAAGTGCTGCTTGTGGAAGAAATGCCGGGACAGGCGCAAACAGTGGAACTTGTCGTGGGGGTCGGCGTCGTTCAAACGCTTCAGAATTTCTATCTCACGGAGGCCGGTTTTGTGCCTGCGGATGGAATGGATCGTTTAATAAGTCGAATTATATACAAGTGGTGGGTGGTGGAAATGAATGTAAACATTAACTATTTCACGATGTCTGAACATGTTAAATATTTAGTCTGTCTGTCTGTCTACCAAATAAAAGTAAAAATTGCGAAACTCTGAAAGTAGTTGAGAAAGTATACTTACATCATGGCATTGTTCCTGATGATCTTGACGGCCACATCGCAGTTGGCGCGTTGGTCCCGCGCCCGCACCACGTTAGAGAACACCCCTTGGCCGGTGTAACCGTACACATTGTACCGCTCGTCCAGACTCTCGCCGATTCGCACCCTGTACATAAAACATAGTATATTAATGCCACACTCTGACTATATATCATGGTTCGTTCTCGGTCCTGTCTCGTTATGTCTAGCTGTTATCAAGGGAATATTCATGTATTTGTTATAATTCATTAAATATATGGCAAATTGTGTGTCAAAAGTTATTTTCTATTGCACTAATAGAACAAAAATCTTACATACCTGTAGTACCCTTCGGCATCATCCCAATTGTCTATCAATGAAGGGTTCTCTAATGCATTGTCACTTCTTGGTTTTCCAGCTGTAGACGTCTGTAATTACAATGAAAGCTTTAATCCAACTTCCTTTCAAATAAAAAAAAAAGGATTTTTTAAATCAGTTTAGAAATGACAGTGACATTCGTTAAAATAAAAAACAAAACAACCGAATCTATCACATCCTTCTTTCTGTGCTCGGTTGTAAAGTGTCTTGTTACTATCAAAAGAGAAAGAGAGATGATCTGGAATTAATATTATAAACAATACTTACATCAACACTGAAGCTGTCCTGATCAGCGAACATGTCCCACGACTTGCTCTTCACTGACTTCTCCAATTTGATGTTAGTTTTGGACTCATTGTCTATATTCCCGGCCAGCCCGCTTACATCGCTCTTGGAGTCTGAATTCGTGGTCTCATCTTGGTCACTTTCTCCTTTTGTTTCA